TCTTCCCGGCCATGATGGACTATATCCTCAAACTGCGGACCATGCTCTAAATTGCTTCTGTCACGAATTTGGCCACTGTGGGGAATGAGGAACCCCACTCATAACAACCACTAACAACGGAGTAGCAAAGGGTTAGTTTATTTGGACTTTGTAAATTTGGTCAGCAAACGGGCCCACAGCAGGAACCCAAAGGACTGTTTCTGTAGCCCCAAGTTGGGCCCTGCCCCTTTTCCCTCACTGGTTGAGTAAGCAGGGGTACAGTCGTACATGTCATCTGTCGCCTACAAAACAGGTGCATGGGTTTATCTGTACATCCTCCATCCTGTTTATTTTAAAGCTTTTGGGGTGCATGACTGAGTCACATCTTCGGGTCACTAGGCAAACTTGGCAATTAGTAATTTTTTTACTCTAAACTTCTAGCCTGGGTGGGGAAGCTAGACGAGCCAGTGTTGGTGGCCCGGCATCTCCTGATCATCAGTAGCTGGACCTAGGCTGACCCAGATGGTCCATTTGTATGTTTTACTTCTCAGAGTCTCTGCAACAAGGAAAGTAACATTAGCCTGTGATGATTAATCCCTGCTTGTCAACCTGAAACACACCCAGGAAGAAGGAAGGTCAGCTAAAAAATGGCCCCCATCAGATTGGCTGGTGGCCATGTCTGTGAAGCATTTTCTTGATTGTTAATTGATGTGGGAGGGCCCAGCCCACCATGAGCGATATCTTCCCTAGGCAGGTGGGCATGGGCTGTGTAAGGAAGGTGAGCCTGGGAGCAAGCCACTAAGCAATATCCTTTCATTGGTTTTTGCTCAAGCTCCTGCCTTGAGTTCCTGCCTTGGCTTCCCTCCATGGTGGAATGTAACCTGTAAGACAGAATAAACCCATTCCTCTCCAAGTTGGTCATGGTCATGGTGTTTATCACTGCCACAGAAAACAAATTAGAACAGCACAGTGTGGATGGCGCTGAAGTCCTTGGGAAATGCTGAGACAATCTGAGCTGGTGAAGATGTCCGGGAGGGTTGGCTGTCAGGGACCTGGGCAGGAGTATCCTTGGAAGCCAAGAAGAATCAAGACAAAGGGCAGGAGCATACTAGAACAGGAGGCATCTCTGAGTCAACACCACTAGACCAGTACTGGGGGGCGGGGATGGCAATTGCTAGCCATAGATTTAGCAGCATGGGGGGTCTCTGGAGACTATGATGTCATTCTAGTTGGAGATTGGAATTGGACAGAAAGCACATGGGTACTCCCTCACCAGCTACCATCTCCCCTTTTGTCTCTTCCACCTTCTGCTGTGTTGGAATCCCCAGCTGTTCACATAGCCCATTGCTTTCCAAAGAACCAACATCTAGATTTGTTTATGAGATGTTTCCATTTTAATCTCTTTCTATCTTTCCTGTGTCTTCTTTGGTTTTGTTTGTTTGTTTTTGTCCTTTCTAACTGTTTGAGCTTGGTAAATCATTTGTGTTTTCATGTTTCTGGAGGGCTTATTTTAAGGCTATGAAACCACCTCTTGGTACAGCTTTGGCTGCATCACTCAGCTTTGGAAATGTTATTTTCATTTTTGGCTAGTTTTGAAATTCCTGTTTTTCAAGCCGGGCGGTGGTGGCGCACGCCTTTAATCCCAGCACTCGGGAGGCAGAGCCAGGCGGATCTCTGTGAGTTCGAGGCCAGCCTGGGCTACCAAG